TCTAGGAGTTAAAGGGGGGGGGGCAGGAGTCAGCATCTTTCCCCTAATGCCGGTCAGCCCGGGTTTCCCGGATTTTCTCGATCCACGGGGTATATAAAGCTCGAGGAGAAAGGAACCAAATCATCAGTTGTTTAAGATGTTTCTGTTCATCATCTTCTCATCAGTAGCTCTCATCACAGCCTTCCCTGGCGGGGATCATCAAGGAGACGGTCACGAGGATGATTGTGTGGATATCTCCAGGTACAGCGAGGTATTGTACGAGGAGAATGACTATGATATCTGCACCTATAGAACAAGTCGAAGCTGTCACACTCGTCAAAACACTGCCTGTGTAGGTATCCCTGAAACCACCTGTGAAGCTGTGGCCTATGCTGATTGTACAAGTGTGCCCTTTACAGGATACTACCACGACGATAGAGTGCTGAGCAAAACCTTCGTTGGTAAGGAGTGTTTCCAGAGCGGGACCCAGACCCTCACAGAGTACCACAAGGTCCCCGTTTGCCAGAACGTGACCAAGGAGCAGTGTGACAGCAAGTGGGTGATCAACGAGGCTGGGGAGAAGGTTTGGGATGGTAATGAGAACTGTCAAGAGGTCACTTGGGAGGATTGTCATCTGGAGTCCCACCCTACCCCCCTGGACGTCCCGACCTACACCTGCATTGACAAGGACGCCATAACCTACTCCGTCCCCGAGTTCCAGGAGGTTGAGGTCACAGGATACAAATCCTCCTGCAAAGCCGCTGCGTACGCCAAGTGCAGTACAACGACTGTACAGAAGTGTAAGGATCTTGAGTACGAGGAATGTACAGATTTTATTGAACCCATCTGCTTCGGGCATACATTCTTCAGGGTCCCATACCAGACATACGACCATAGGCTCAAGTGTATCGTCAATTGATCAGAAATTAGTTTTTTACTCAATTCAAAACACATATTCCCTCTGATTCATTTTTGTACATATATTCAAAATGAATAAAATTATATCTAAAAGTTTAGTGTATTATTGAGGACTTTTTTTTAAAACGCTCTTCACCTTTTTATCTTTATATGTATTCTTAGATAGTTAGATGGTTAGGCAGTAATAACTTTAAATGTTGTAGATCCTAAAGTTTTATTCTTAGCTTTTCGTTGTTTATGATTTATCTGTGTGACTTGTTTTTAGGATATTATAAATCTCGACAGTGAAAAATGTTGCGGATTTTCTTGTTAGCATTGGTGGATTATAAAATTTGTTAAAAATTCAAATGTTTATAAAATAACAAATTCCTATGAGAATCGTAAAAAGTTTCCACTCGTTCTCCCAATTCGGAATACGCTGGACCTACACACAAAGTACTATTATCAATTTAAACTTTAAAGGGACTGTACATATAATTTTACGTAATCCTTCATGGTAAAAATTTTGAAAGTTTCCTCGTTTTTAATCTGATACTCGATCGTTTTAAATTGTTATTTCTTAAAAAAAAATTATGCAGCAGAGACAAAGAAAGAATTTGACATAACCAATAATAAATAGAAATAGTTTTTAATGCTGGGTCACTTGAAATTACGTTTGCAGAGTTAATCAGAAAACACTGAAACATTTAATAAAACTGTTCGAGTAAAACTTCTTTCACATCTTCTTGTAAAGTGCCTATTTTAATGTCTAGGATTGATCGAATAGAGAAGTAGTTGAGCTATGTATGGCTAGTTTCACATCATGTATTTACTTACCATGTGAACAAGATGTCTGGCCATTTCCGGTAAATCTTTTGCTTGACTTCCACTTTTACTCAGATTTAACCCTTTAATGCCTCCTGCGGATTCCTGAACAAAGAACACTGCACAGAGATTCAGACAACTTTCAAGGGAATTGACACAAACTCTGATTTTCTAATCTTATATATTTTTGCAACACAACGTTGTAATCCTTAGATATTTCAAACTATTAATTCAAATAAGTTTGAAATATCAAGGGTTTACACTACTACGTTGCAAAAATATAGAGATTAGAAAATTTAATTTCTTGGCAAATAATTAATTTCTAAATGCATCATATTTAAGATCGCGGCGACTTTGAAGTGTCGCAACTCCTTGGCCTTTAGTTTTGCTCAGCAACTCACTCATACTTTTTTGTAACTGTATGCATAGACATCTGATTCTAGTTTCATTTTTTTAGAAGTAATGGCCTTAATACTTATCAATTATTGCCTGAAAGCGAATTCGAAATATCGAAAAAGATTAATTTAATGGAAATCTCAGTTCGGTTTTTTACATAGAAATAAAGCTAAAGGTTTTGTTATTTGAAACTGCAGCGACTAAAATAATTGATCTTATTATTTATAAAATATTCGTTTACATAATTATTATTCCTTAAAATTATTGTTTGTTTTATATNTGTGCAATTCCTAAAAATAATTGTTTGGTTTATATTATTACTAAAAATATTCGTTTGTCTTATCATTAATAAAAGTAGTTGACTGTCTTATGTTACAATTGTTTGAATAATTATGTTTAAAAATTTGTCTGATGCAATGGTTAAAATTTTTACCTCAAAAGGAATCATAACTGCTCTTGTATTCCCATAAGACGCTCCCTGAAATTTGTATTATTCACATTTTCTTTGTTGTTTGTGTGCGCTTGAAAGAATGTAAACTATTTGTAAAAATGGAAAATTAGTTTGAAACTTATTTTATGCAAAATCACCATTAAAAATTGTGTAAGTGTACCATTGAAACCTTTATATCTGATTAACTAATACTGTGGAAGAAGTTGTCGTTTTTCTAGGTTTAAAAGTGTTTAATTCAGATCAATCCTATATGTTCTCCTGAATTAGAAATGCGCTAGTCATTTTTGTAGAAAATCCACGATTAAAAATAGTCAGTTTTAACTGTTATAAATATTGATATCTTTTTCAACACTTGATCAGACAACACGTTAAAAATCGCGCCTAGCAACCTTTGCATGAAGATTTCACTTGAAATCACGCTTACAGTCCCTTTAAAAAGATTTTTCATGTCTATTTAGTATTTTTATAATAAGAAAATTAATTCTATATTTACCTTCAGATTAGGGTTAAAAACTCTGAAAATAAAATAAATTATTAGAAATGTTATTGCACGAAAATGAACGTAATTTTAGTTTAAAAGTAAAATAAAGAATTCTATAGATTTTGCGTTGAACGAACCCCAATAGTTAGAAATATTTTCTTACAGGGTGTTCTTTATCAAATTAGACCGTGTCAATGAGTCTAAATTACGATTTGGGGGACAAATCAGAAATTGGCTTTACTGAAAAATGACTTGAGCAATTGTGAGAAAGGAAATTGCCTGAATTTAATAAAAAAAATCCACCTGATGAAGTTTGCCAGGGTGGGGCTAGACTTCCAGTCCCCCTCTCCCCCTGTTGTAAATGAGACACCTCTGAAAGAAAAATTGAAAATTGTCGATTTTTTAAATAGATAAACAAGAACATCTCAATATTTTTGCTCAATAAAGATATAAAGGACACCGGGGTGAAACTTCAAATTAAGGTTTACGTGAAATTACGTAGATACTCTCTTTAAGCAGAAAAATATAAGTAATCTAATCATGTCAATTTTAAAATAAAAACCGTACACATAATTACTTACAATATTTTTACGCCTCTATTTGAATATAAAAAAATGTATTCCTAAATTGTCAGGTTTAGTCTGACTTCCTGTCTGATTTATATATTTGTATCTATGTGGTAGTCGATTATATCAAAACAATGAAGACGACTTTTTTATTGTTTACAAACTTTTTTCGACTTACAAGTTTGCAAGTAATCAGAGAGAACCTTTTTTATCGACAGCTTCTCTTTGTTTCCGTGTTTATGTGTAATCATGCTGTTTAAAAAGCTTGATATAAATCAAAATTGAAATCGAAATTCGTCTTCATTGTATAGAAATAATCGCCTACCACTGTACCTGTTTTCATCTAAAACTTCTAAAATATTTTTAGCTTTAGCTCCAGTTCCCGCGGTCAGTGAATCCCCAAGTGCACCGATTATACCAATGTCTTGAGGTCTGAAAATTTTTCAGAATTTGAAGAAGAACTTGCCACAAACTCTAGCTTTATAATCTCTTTAGTTTAGTAACTTGATGGTGTAAATATTTGCTGTAACAAACTTTGAGTATTAGTTTTTCTTAAACCATCAGTATGCAACTTGGTATCATGCTTACACAATTGGAGTTGGAGGCGAGTAATCAGTTTCATTCTTGAAAAACAAATTTAAGCTTACAGTTGACAGATAGACAGGGGAGACTCAACTTTATCCTCAAACCTCATCGTGTATCAGACCTTAAATTTGACCTCAAAAACTTGACCTAAAATTCTACTTGACCATTAGTTTAACCTCAATGTGGACCCATTACCTTAAATTTGGTTGATCCCATGTTGCTTCTGACCTTGAAACTGACTCCAAGGTTACTCAATTCACTGAAGTTGAAACAAACTCTTCTAGCTGACCCTGAAGCTACCTTGAAGCTGACCTTGAAGTTGACCTTGAAGTTGACCTTGAAGTTGACCTTGAAGTTGACCTTGAAACTGACCTTTAAGTTGACCTTGAAGCTGACCTTGAAGCTGACCTTGAAGTTGACCTTGAAGTTGACCTTGAAGTTGACCTTGAAGTTGACCTTGAAGTTGACCTTGAAGCTGACCTTGAAGTTGACCTTGAAGCTGACCTTGAAGTTGACCTTGAAGTTGACCTTGAAGTTGACCTTGAAGTTGACCTTGAAGCTGACCTTGAAGTTGACCTTGAAGCTGACCTTAAAGCTGACCTTGAAGGAGACCCAACATTATACTCGACCCTAAGTTATACCTGACTTGATGAACTGTCCTAACACTATTGTATGAATAGTTTCCCTCTGGTTCACATGGGAACCCGGCCTGCTCAATTAGTCTTTGAAACCTGGAACAAAGAAAAAATGTTCAATCATGTTTTTCCGTTCTTTTGATTTAAAGATCTGAATTCATAAAAAGATACCAAAATGCGACAAAAAAATGTTTTCTCTGATGAATTAGAATTTGACTGTCCTTTCAGAAAGTGGAAAATTTTCAAAAATATAGATTTTTTATTATAAGTATCTAGCATTATGAATATCAACGTTTTAAAGTTTTCGATCAATTCTTTACATAAAATATTACGTTAAAACTGCTTTAGATAGCCTTAGGTACACAGTTAATTTAGACCAATAGGACAAATTATTTTGATAACGAATTAAAATGTCGTTTTTAAATGCCCTGGAAATTATATAAAATGTCGCCTCCAACTAACCTATGATGATTCGAAGGAAGATTTTCCGGTATATTTGGAGAATCTACTATTCGGAAAAACTATACTTTTTACCTTGTATTTTACATTCATGTACAGCATGCATTTACCTGAAGTGTCTTTGAAGTTTGCCGCCTGGGATTTATGTACTAATGTACTGCACAGGAATATTATAATCGAGATCATTGCTGCAATCTATATTTATCATTGCTGCATTATCTCTGAAAATAAATATTTTATAGTCGATTAGAAAACAAAGAGTTTGATCACCCATTTCACTCACTGTGCATTATCTAAAGTTAACTTAATTGCTGCATTTCTATTCAGTTTGCTCACTGTATATTATTTAAAGTTAGGTCACTGTGTACCACTTAGCATTGACTCACTGTGCACCATCTGAGAAAGGGTTAATTCAGTTTCCTTACTTTGTAGATAACCAAACTATGACTTAAAAACCCCCAAATTCAAAGAGCTAAGGTAGTCGTTAAAGTCTCATCTATCTTAGGTAACCCTGTATTTTTTCTTTTGTCGATTTATGCATTTTATCTAATTTTATCTCATTTTATCTCATTTTATCTCAATTTTATCTCATTTTATCTCATTTTATCTCATTTTATCTCATTTTATCTCATTTTTTTTCTCATGGTTTCATGGTTCCATGGTTCCATGGTTTGTGCCATAAAGAATTAGAATAAACTATTAAAGTGTTTAGTACAGTTTTTAGTTTACAAATGTCATTATAAGATTTTATTGTTAAATCATTGCTGCGAGAATTTTTTTTTAATTCCTGCCAAGATTGTTATTTTCAAACATTAAAGGGATAATTAAGAATTTTTAGCGTCTTTATTTTTTTTTATTAAAACAATGTAGGGGTTTAAGATAAATTCAATTGTACAAAAAAATCTAACATTTCAGGGGTAACCAGGCCCGGCCTATGGGCCGCCCCCAAGTTTGGTTAAGAACCGAGAACTTTTCCCATGGTGAGTAACTTATTTTTGCCCTTACATTCCATTTAAACAATCGTTTTCAAAAACGATTATTTTAAAAACGACCGTTTCGTTTAAAAAACTATGGTTTTATGTTTTTTATTCATCGTTTTTTTAAACGAAACCCTAGCAGGTTAGATTTTTTGTATAATTGAATTACTCTTAAAAATCTACTTGACTAGTGAGATGGATGTAGACGGAGAGTGTACACGCATTATAAATCAAAATATTAGGATTCATTTGGTATTGAAGTAATATGTGCGAAGGGTTGTTAATCGTTTTTGATAACGATCGTTAAACGATCGTTTTTGTTACGTTTTTCAATCGTTTTCAAAAACGATCGTTTCGTTTTTGGGAAAAAAACGATTGACAATTATGTTAACGATCGTTAACGAAAGGTTGTCGTTAACGATCGTTAACGAAACGACGATTTTTATAAAAACGATTGTTTTAAAAAGTGATTGTTTTCAATAACGAAGTTTTATGTGTGTAATGTGTAAGAGCGTAAACACACTTATAAATTTTTTACCAGACGGATTAGCAAAGTTTAAATATTTTTAATGAGCCCAAAAAAAGCAAAAAAAACTTCTGTGAAATACTTTTACTCTCGTTATTTATAAAATGTGGTTTACTATTTTCACACCTAAAGAAATTAGTCTAATTAATAATCTGAAATTGTGGTTTCTCTTTTACGGTGACTTGCGGACTTTGCTGCATATAAAATGGAAGAAATTGTTAGAATTAAACACCTTTTTAACTAAAAACTCTTTTTTGCTCAGGGAATTCAAGGGAATACACAATTTCGAACGGAAACTCCGCGAATGACATCTTGCTCTAAAGAGATTTAAAAAACGCATTAAAATTATAACATTAAAACTAACATTATTGGCAAATGGTTGAAATTGATAGGACCGGAATAGATAGCATCGGGTATTCTCTCACACTGGAATCTTTTTAATTTATCTTTTTACCGTTAAATATAAACTAATCCGCTTAGTGTAAAATAGAGTTGAATGATCATGCAATTTTTAATCATTGAATCATGAAAATTTTATTTATTTAATCTTTTATACAGCTCAATTAAACAACGCCAGGGGGGAGGAGAAATATTTAATGATTTCAGGGATTTTTGTTTTATTTCTTTATGTTTGTTTCAGTTTTAAAACTCATAATTCCTACAGATTTGGAACTACTTTAAGAGTTCTAGCAATTTTCGATTATCCGGCCTACATTTTTGTGGGAACTCATATGACCTGTAGAAAAGGTTTATGGATGGCCAGAATTAAATAAATTTGCTCAAAACAAATTCGATTTTTTTAAATTCATGAAAAAAACGATAAATCCAAGTTTTTTTTCATTTTTAATGATTAAAGAAGAGAATATAGTTAAATCGAAGAGTAAAAATTGCAGTTTTCTCAAAATTTAGTAAAGGTGCTAACGTCAATTTTGATTATATTTGGTAATTAAAACAAACTTTTCCTCTCAATCCAAAGTAATAAAAAGGTAATAAAATGCCAGTCTTAAACTTCTGAAAGATAAATTATAATTTTTAAATGAGAATTTAAAAAAGGCAACATTTAAAAACTGTTGCCGTGTAGTTTAAATTAATGATTTTCCATTGATCGTTTTCCGACGTAAAAATGTTCACTGATGTGAGTAACCCGTGCATAATGTAATAAGTAAACTTTGCGTAACTCCTGCGTAAGAAATGCGTATATATATTACATACATAGGTCAGTCCCCTCTTTCATTCAAGCAGCAACAATAGTCTCTATAAACTGTCTACGTAAAACTTCGTGTCACAAATTTATTTTTAAACAAGTGAAAATAAAGTTGCTAAGACTTTAAAAGAAATCCTAGAACTGTAATTTAAATCTTAAACATACATTTAAATTGTTTAAAGGATTCCTTAAAATCTAAAACATTTCGTGTCAATAATGTTTTTTGGACACCAAACAGTATAGTCTACGCACTGTTGCCTTCCATGGTAAATGTCCGAATATTTAACTGTAGAATTCAGCTTGATATATAAGCATAGCCCTAGGAGAAGGGGTAGTGATACAGAACTATAGAGAGGGATACATTATTATATATAGTCCTTGAATCGGGACTACAATATGCTACAAAGGGGACACGTAGTAGACTTTAAAAAACAGCATTTTTAAGGCCAGAGGGAAGGCAAAATCGAACAGGGGGGGACAACAAAAATATTTTAGCGTGAAAACTTGCCCCCCACCCCTGAGTGCGCCTGTCAAGGGGGGTAAGGAGGGTGGACAAGACTACCCAGGAAGGGGGGGGACACACTGTACTTAACTACTGATTGTTCATGCAATAGCAGCAGCAATAGAAGCCCTCCAACTATTATATATATTTTGGCTTGTCTGGGTGTATGTCTGTCTGTTTGTTTGTATTCTATAAACGTTCAAATATATTGGGGGAGAAAAGGTTCATGGCCGGTTGCAGTTCAAGAAAATATTCCCCTGTGTTATTATCCCTAAAAAAAGTCACTTGTATTATTATTAATTTGCCTATAATCTTTATTTTCAAAGGATGCAAAGTAAAAATGCATGTTCTAGTAAAAAATGTACGGAATTTATATTGTCTGTTTCCTTATATTCATGATCCCCTTAAACTGCAGTATAAAGGTACACATCATAGATGGATTGTTGGCGGAGAAGG